CAGAATGTGCTCTGACAGCTGGGTGTGCCTGGGGGACTGCCATCCTTTAAGATGGGAGTTGTTCGTGCTACTCCCAGGGTGCAGGGATGCAGCTGAGCTCCTGGCTGCCGTGAAGCTTAGTAGGCTGTAAATCAAGAGTGACCTACACAGGAACCAAGGCTTATAGACTGTCTGCTCTCTGCATGCCAAGACACATAGGGAAATCTCTAGGAGGACTTGGAGTCCACCAACATGCAGTATTTCCTGTAACTGTTTCATCTGAAAATCCGTTAATGAGTATTTGAGGGCAGAACCTTCCTACCAAAAGAGTTTAAAGAACTGCCTTTTCTCTAGGGCAGGACGCTAGAACAAAAGGGATGATATCTGTCAGGTACTACTTAATAATCAATTTATGTCCTATGCTCAGAGATTTCTTTGCTGCTCCTTCCTGACAGGGCGCTCTCTTGCAGGGTTGCTGCTCAAAGATGTGCTCCCGACAGCGCTCCGGAGGCTGCCATGAAACATCCTCCCAGTCGGGAGGATGCCACGGTGGTGGCTCAGGGATCCTCAGGCTATGGCACGGGAGGAGGATCCAGCGGAGGCTCCATTATCATCTCTTCTGGGGGTGGCAGTGGAGGGTCGTCCGGATGCTGCAGTGGGGGTGGATCTGGCGGGGGCAGCTCAGGCTCCGCTCAGAAGATCATCGTGAGCTCCGGAGGTGGAGGAGGTGGTTCCTCTGGCTGCTGCGGTGGAGGATCCTCAGGCTACGGCGTGGGAGGAGGATCCAGTGGAAGCAGTGGGGGATCAGGTCAGAAGATCATTGTGAGCTCCGGAGGTGGAGGAGGTGGCTCCTCCGGCTGCTGCGGTGGAGGATCCTCAGGCTACGGCGTGGGAGGAGGGTCCGGTGGAGGGTCTTCAGGAGGAAAGATCATTATTTCAGGAGGGGGGAGCAGTGGGGGATCAGGTCAGAAGATCATTGTGAGCTCTGGAGGAGGCGGCGGTGGCTCCTCTGGATGCTGTGGTGGAGGATCCTCAGGCTACGGCGTGGGAGGAGGGTCCGGTGGAGGGTCTTCAGGAGGAAAGATCATTATTTCAGGAGGGGGGAGCAGTGGGGGATCAGGTCAGAAGATCATTGTGAGCTCTGGAGGAGGCGGCGGTGGCTCCTCTGGATGCTGTGGTGGAGGATCCTCAGGCTATGGCACGGGAGGAGGATCCAGTGGAGGGTCTTCAGGAGGAAAGATCATTATTTCAGGAGGTGGGAGCAGTGGGGGATCATCAGGGTGCTGTGGTGGAGGATCCTCAGGATTCTCAGGATCCTCAGGCTACGGAATAGGAGGAGGCTATGGGGGTAGCAGTGGGGGATCAGGTCAGAAGATCATTGTGAGCTCTGGAGGAGGAGGAGGAGGCTCCTCCGGCGGCTGGGGGGG